ATAGCTTTTTCAAAGCAGAAGGGCGGGCTAAAAACACTCGCGATCAACACAAGAAAGCGTAAAATTACGGTGGGAGACGCAACGGGGGACAATATGGCGTGAAATCACAGGATGATGCAACAAAGATTTGGCGCGCAGATCAATCACTTGCACTCACCTCATCATACAACACCCCCGAGGGGTGCAGCTGCAAGTCGTAGCAGGAGTCCTGCGACTCCTGGCTCATGATAAGGGGCTCCATGGTATCTTCGTCGGATAGATGGAGATCGGCCTTCAACTGGCGGTGATCCATAGTGGGGCGGCACGTCACTCCAGACACTTCACACTGCAAGCGCTGGCGAACGACTGACGCCGGCGCGCCGTGTCCTGCCCCCTCTGCCGCGCGGGGGGCGAGAGGGGACGGGGTAAAGTGCTTATTGGCACTTTGACCGAATTCTCGCCGATTGCGTGTTGAAGATGTGTAATGATGTTTGTAAGAATTCAATGACACTTTGTGTCAGCTCGGGCGCACCTTTTTTTTTTTTCGTGGACTTCATAGTGTAATTCGTACCCTCAAAAGCAGGTAGAGCAGACGACGCAGGAGTGGGGAGGACTTGTTCGCGCGCTTGCCAAGCCAGCTCGCGCCGGATCGAGTGGAGTAGGGGCGGAGGAGGGGAGAGCGGTGTGAGGAGGGGACCCTGCGGCGCGGCATGGCACGGCCAGCAGCCGACGCGAGCGGGATAGCGCCGCGGCGGCGGTCGGCGGCGGCGCGGCGAGCAAGCCTGGACATGTTGTACATTTAATTAATCGAGTAGTACGGTAATTCGCTGGCAGGGCGCGGCGGTGCCGCGGAGGCACGGTCGCGCTCGTGTCTTAAGCCCCTGATTTAATGACAACCCATTGACGACACTACCACGGCGCCTCTCTCTGCAACTATAGGCCTTATCCATCCACTCGTCCATATCGGTTATAGTATACACCATATCTATGAATCGTGCTGTGCCTTACGCTACCATGGTCACACCTCTTGGTGGGGTAAATGTTGTACGGCATTTCCAATTTCCATCGTCCGCTTTCTGCTGTCAGTGGTGCTCATATCGCCGTACGGCACACTGTTTCTTTTGTCGGTGTCATGTTCATCTTTGTAACATCTGTGAAATGCTTTGACCTTATCTGAGCCAATCCAATGTTTCTTGGATCTGCGGAGTGAAGGCCACGACGGCCACGGCGGACTCCTTGACGGCTACCTCGCAGTCCCGGTGCGCGGGACCCGGACGGACTCCTTGACGGCTACCTCGCGGTCCCGGTGCGCCGGCGGGCGGGCGGGCGGACTCCTCACCCCGGCTACCTCGCCGTGCCGGTGCGCGGTACCCGGACGGACTCCTTGACGGCGACCTCACCCGGGCGGTCCCAGTGCGCGGGCGGTAAAGACGCGTTCTAACCGGTGCGCGTGGCGGGCGGCTCCGGTGGGCGGGCGGGCCCCCCGTGCGGACGGCCCCGGTCCTCGCGGTGCATTAGGCCCTCTCGACCTGGGGGTCCAAGATGGCGGTGGGTGACTGGGCCGGGGTGACTAGAGGTGGGGTGACTCGGGGGAATCAAAATGGCGGAGGGTGGTCACTGGGGGGTAGAGGTCACTAGGGGGAATCAAAATGGCGGCGGGTCACTAGGGGGAATCTATACTACTCCTAGGATCTTACGAAAGAGTGGCGAGCATGTTCATGATGCTCTTAGCGACAGAGACAAGGAAGTGGTGGTAGTGTCAGCCGCGTGCAAGCGCGCAGCAACAGAGGCGCTTGACAGTCGTCCCCGAAAAATCATTCGGCAAGAAATAAGAAACTGTGATTATATTCTGAAACCAGATACTAAAAGGGTGCGTACTGTGTTGTTGTTGTTGTCGTTGTTGTCGTTGTTGTTATATTGTTCAAATATTTTGTTTGTTTCAAACAGATCGCACAGACGATGTACCGCGCCGAGCGGAAGCTCCTCCCTACTCTTCCCAAGAGTGGCAAGGAAGTTATTGAGCAATTTAGAGAAGACATTACAGTTGAAACTTCTAGAAATGAATTGTTTTCGTTTCCCATAGAGTCTTCGGGAGTTCTCATTTTTACGTGTGAGACAAATTTGAGGTGAGTAAGCGTTTTTCATTTTTGTTGTTAGTACAGTCATTCCTTTTTTTATGACATAACTTTTTTATTTTTGTACTTCAGGCTGCTAGCTGAGTGTGACACCATTCTTACAGATGGCACTTTTGATTATGCCCCGGACCAATTCGTCCAAATGTACACGATTGGCAACAAGATGGGGCATAATGTTCGACTTGCTGTTGCTTGCCAAACAAGAAGGGCGACACTTACGTGGCAATGCTAGAGGCCCTCAAAAATCTGGTTAGAGAAAATGTAGGGGTTGAGTTAAAGCCTGCCAGAATTTTGGTTGGAGAGGGTTCGCATTTCATGAATTCCTTTAATTTTCGTGAGCAAAAATAAAATCTGACACCAGACCCGAAATCTTGACTTAATAATGAAAAGAAATACCAACTTTTTCAACAAAAAAAATTAATATTCATCCACATCACTAAGTAGGAATGATATGTATAACATGAAACACGACATAATAACTTCGCAACTTCGCCCTGTATCTGATGAAGGAGGGGTAATTCCCTACTCTTGGCCGTGCAGTTGCCGGGCACACTGTGAAAATATTTCCGAGCATATCGAATGGAGCCTTCTCGACGCTTCGGCAGCAACACGACGTTAATTGACAATGGAAAAAGTACGACGTCAACGTTGAACTTTTGGGTTCCAACGAAAACGTCGGAAAAAACCTTCCTACAGGTGGGATTCCGACGTCATCCTTGGATTTTTCCTACGAATCAAATAACAGTGTACTTTAGATGTAACATTCTAATTTCATGTATTAGTCGGATGACATACTGAAGAAAACAATTACATACTTGGTTCGTATTATACACCGCCAACATACTAATCATCAGTATGTTAGTGCTGTGCATATCGAGATTTTGTGTACCAGTCGAATCATCTCTTGAAAAAAAATTTCGAACTGAATCAAATCGGACCCAAAAAACTCGAATCGAATTGTTTAAATTCGCGCACGAATCAAATCGAGTCAAATCCCCCCCCCCCTTTCCTTTCAGTCTCGCGATGACAAAAAATAAATGTCCGTCGTGTCACTCTGTGCTTCGTATGCAGGGCTTCGTATGAAAAACTTACGTCTCATTACCAGGGCGCTCTCACGCGGCTCGCGCACTCTTTTAGAAAGATGCACTTAACCGGGAGGATTCGGTAGCGAATTGTGACCGATTCGAAATTGCAAACCGTCCGAGGTCGAATCGGTGAGATTCGGCTTCGAATCGAATCGGGCCCGATTCGATTCGATTTAGTTCGATTTCGAACATTCGCACAGCACTACAGTATGTTACTCTAAAATCAAGAATATCGGTTTCTGGGTGATCCTGATGTTTCCCAGGCAGGTGT